GCGTACCTCCTTTCACCAACGTAGAACTCAAAGCGCTTCGACCCGCGTTTCACCGAGATTGATACAAAAGTAATCAATCGCGTGTCACCGCCTCCTGTTGAGCCCACGTAGAAATCGGCCTTCGTTTCCACAATGAAACTGAGAGGTGGAAGGTCATCAGAATGGCGCTGATTCCCGGTCTTCTACCTTCATCCCAGGAAAAACTACTATTACAGACTTTTCTAGCTTCTTAGTGTTAGAATTTGTGGCATGTGGCCATGTATAATTTTCAAGGAGGGAATTCATTTCCAGGACGTTGCTTTTCCTATGTTTCCGATAGTCGAGTTTCTGGTTCACTACAACCGAGTATTTTTATGCTTAATGTGAACCAAACGGTTATAGTGACAAGTTCACTATAACCGACGGTTCACTACATCCGAGTTCACAACAACCGGAGTGGACTGTACTTATTTGCCTTCGTTGATACTTAATCGAACAAGTAAACAGGCTTAAATTAAGATATATACTACAAATAAAAATTTAAAACTCAGTTGACTACCTTATATGACAAAATTATGAACACAAATTCGAAATAAAATTCAGAGAATTCTTAATGAATTATTCTAATCATTTGGTGAATCACTAACGTCTACTGTGCTACTACTATTTCGTACCTAATAATTTTCAGGGAAGAGATGCTTGTTTCAACTTCTTGAAGAAAGGCGTGGGCGGGTGGGGGGTTGCGTGCCGAGTCTCTTTCAAACATCATGCAAAGCCGTTGTTTGACATTGCACGCAATTAGGGTGCCCAGGAAAGCAGATATCCTATATTGATCTGCCAGTTGCATCCCATAACATGTCATCAACCCCTTACTACTAATTTCAAGAGACAAATTTCATTTCTGAATTTATAATACACTTCCTGACAAAAAAAGTGTTGCGCCCAGAAGGAGTGGTAAAATATTATTCCATTTCGGTATACATGCGTACTACCGTTGATGCGTGAGTATTCACACATCTATAATGCGTACAATGCCCACTTGAGTGCATTCGTGGGGTCACCAGCCTGTTGTTCCACAGTTGTCGGCCAACTTCTGAGTTATACAGTGAAGAACGACGTTTACGTGCAGTACGAAGCACTTGCAAAGACGCGCTGACGCGGTCGACAGCTACACATCAACCGACTACATTTGATAGAGACCGTATAGTGGACTTGATATGAGGCTGGATGGTCATATCGTGCAACTACCAGGCATGTGGGTCATTCAGATGTCTCAAGGGCTCGATGCTGGAATCAATGGGTCCATGAGTACACCCATGCACGACGTGCAGGCACGCCACCCCGAGGAAGGACCGTCGTATGGCGCGCCGAGCGTTGTGGAATCCCATGGCGTCAGCATCCGCCATCCGCGATGTACTGGTGACTACAATAGCCTGTGAGTTCAAGGACAGTGGCTCGACCACTCTTCTCCGCCGAATTGAGCTACCGCCGCCCTATGCACCCAGACATCGGCGTTTGGATTGGTGCCGTGCCCAGCAGGCAGGGGCCGAGGACGAATGGCGTCACATCATGGACAGTGATGAGTCCAGCTTCGCCATAACTTCCGAAGAGTGTGGCGGCGTGTAAGACCAGAGGGCACATCCTGCCATAATTTTGGAGAGACACACAGGCGTAAACACGGGCATCATCGTGTGGGGTGTCTTTTGAAAGTGCATTCAAATCCCCTCTAATAGTGCTTCTGCAGACTTTGACGGTGCAGCGATACGTCACAGACATACTGCATCCGTATCCCTTATGTCACAGCACTCTGGGTCAGAGTTCCAACAAGATAATGCACGCCCTCACACCATGTATGACCACAAACTGCCTACAGCATGTTGAGGTCCTCCCATTGCCAGCAAGACAACCGGACCTCATTGAACACGTGTGGGATGATACTGGAAGACGATTCCATCAGAGATCCAACCTGCAGGATCCGGAGGAACAGCTGCTTGAGACGAACGTGTCTCAAGAAAGGATCCAAAGGCTGTTTGACACCATTGCAAACAGGTTAAGAGCATGTATTGCAGCTAGAGAAGGTAGAACACCCTACTTATCTTGCGCACACTTTCAACCTTTAACTGCCAACGGCATTGTCTCTTTCATCCGAATTCAGAATAAGTTCAATGAAGCCACATGGTCTTCAGCATATGCACGGATATCGTAGTTTCATTCACTTCCAAACACTTCTTCTGGGTGCTTCACTTTTTTTTATCAGGTAGTATACTTTTTAACATTACAGTGAGAGTTAAATCACACTTGTTCTTCGTTAAAGTATGCCTTAACTGTCTCTGTGATTAAAGCGCGTCTTTACTCCTGAAGTAATAACACACGGTAAACAAAGTATGCCTCCATTTGTATAATCTCTTAATGAAGTCAGGATAGCTCTCAGGATCTTACCTTTCTCTTAAAAACCCTGGTAATTCAAGCAATTATTATTTGGGAAGTTTTTTACCTGAAGCAGTGAAATTAAAAAAAACTGTCACCTACAAGTTATGATCAGTAGGTATTTCGATCTAATTTACCGAAATTTCCATAATATTCCAATAATTGTATTCCTTTTAAGGAAAGCAGCACATCCCTGAGACATGTCTCACTATTCCCAATTAGTACATTTTGCATTCACTTTACTTGTGATTCGTTTCTTAAACCAGGTTTCCAGTATTCATAAATTATAAATCATATTTTTAATATTTATTTTATTTGTTATCCAATTTTCGCGTCTCACTTTTCGCATCGCATAGACCTATCACGGCACTGTACCTTTACGTATTTGCCCTCAGTTCCTCAATTAAACACATACATATCACACTTCCCTGTCACGCCAAGAGAATAGGAAAGGGCTTCAACTAAATGCTCATCTGCCTCACAAGGTCCAATCACTAAACAGTACTAATAAACGTGTTACGGTTTTCCAACATAAATTGAGAAAATCAATAATATAACTAAAACTGACCTTTTTATGCACACGCGGCCTTAAATGTTTTCAGTGAAATTGAATATAATTAACAGAATAACTTTGACACCATTCTTTTCACAGCAACAATGCATACAAAGTCACTTCAGAATCAAAATCTTACCACGTCACATCGAGTAATGAGCAAATTTCTCTCTACAGAAAAAGTTGTAGAACACTATTTTACAACAAACACAAGGTAACACAGAGGCTTACTTTAATTTCATGTAATATTTGCATCGAGAGTTTTTTCAAAAAACACATTTCCCCTACATATTCTAATTTTACATCTATGACCATTTTTGAGAACATTTTGAAATGTACCAGGTTCTTCATGTGGATGATTAATATTTTTGTTCTCTAACCCTGAAATATAAAAGGCAACCCTCGAACAAAGCCATAGCGACATGACAATGGTTCTCAAGAAATTAGAAGTAACACAACGGGCGTACAAACAGAAGGAAGAAAATTTGTTTTCTCTAAATGGAGCTTTATTACGCACTAGAACGTTATAATAAAAAGGAATAACACCGTGGAGAATGGTGTTTATTCAGCACTCTTCAATGAATGCTTATATTAGTACTGACAAACTTCAGAATGTTTATATAAAGTACAGAGAGATGACTTTCTCGCAAGTGGTATTCTCTCACCTAAGAAAGAATTGTCATACTCGTAAAGGTTCCTGGCTAAAATGCTCATTGCTATTTCGAACGACTTTCCATACGAACACAGTAATACGCTTAAAGTGCACCCACTGTGTCGATGTTTCGCCTTCAAATTCAATTTTTCTCTCATTTTTCCCTCCCTCCATCTATTTGTTGGAAAAGATTTTTAATTACAGATATCCTTGGAATTTGTATTTGTAAAACACACGTTTTAGTATCCCAGAGGAGCAAATCATTGGGGAGCCAAAGTAGGTCGTTAACCTCAGTCCGCACGATGTGAAAAGATCAGATATGCCGTTACATCAGTGCTACGCTTCCTTCGCTTGCACAACGAGCAAGCGCTCTCCTCAGGTGTGCGTAGAGAGGATTTCGAAGCCCGGTTATTACAGAGGTAAGTCTCCGCTTTCATTTCTGCGCTCCAAGATCCTTAGATGTGGAGGAGCTAATGCCCAAAGCACCGCGCTGGTTTCGGGAGACGTATTAACAAAATGAAATAAACGCTATGAAATATAATAATTTCATTTCAATAATTTCAATATTTGTTTAACCTTGCGGAACCTTGCTAACATTTCCATACTTTGTAAATCATTGTTTGAAAAGTACAAATAACGTCCAACAGCTATGCCCAGAAATGTGCGTTACCCATCAGAAATTCGGAACTGTGTGTGGGTAAACATTGTAATATTGCTAAGAATTTAACCATAAAGACAAAATCATGCGGTTAGACAGCAAAGAATTGCAAATAGTCAATATAATTTTACATCGACTTTCAATGTCTGCACGCTCCTGACTCCCGTGCTACCCGAAAGAGCAAAACTTCCCAATACGCAATTGAAGTTCTAAAAAATGGAGGTTACGGTTAGCACAATGCGACCCCCTAAAACCAGAGTCGCAAATAGTTTCGGAGTACTTACTCGTACCTTCCCTGAAGGTAAAGTGTATAGCAACGTGAGACATGTGAGAGAATACCACTTGCGAGAAAGACATCTCTGTACTTTACATAAACATTCTGAAGTTTGTCAGTACTAATATTCATTGAAGCATATAGCATTCATTGAAGAGTGCTGAATGAACACAATTCTCCACAGTGTTATTCCTTTTTATTATAATATTCTAGCGCGTAATAAAGCTCCAATGAGAGAAAACAATTTTTCTTCTTTCTGCTTGTTCGCCCGTTGTGTTACTTCTAATTTCTTGAGAACCATTGTAATGCCGCATTGGCTTTATATGCGTAAGTCATTTTTATCGTGTCATGAGAAACATCGTTATCGCTTATTACGTTATTGATCTTCCTATCAGCATATCTGATAATTTCTGTATTTTCAATAGGATAGTTGTTCGTGATTTCTTTCCACGCACTTCTATTCCTCGCCCTGCTTGACCATTCGTTACCGGCACCTGATCTGAGCTCGTCGCTCCAACTGTTTCTTTGACGTCCCCCTTTTCTCCTCCCAGTCCTTGCGGACCCTGTGGTGCACCTCGCGTGTCCATTCGCATGAGGAGTTCGCCTCAATTTTGTTCTTCTTGCTTGTTACTTGCAGTTATCTTTGTTTTCTTCCTTCCAACTTCATTTCTTATTCTGTTCCACAGTGTAATACCAAGAATTTTAGTAGTTTCCTTTCTATTTTTCTTTGCCAATGTTCAAGTTATTGTTTGTTCTGACATTAAATGACCATGTTTGAGCTCCATACAGTAAGCTACAGTAAGAAAACTTCTGTTTTCCTCTTGTTCATAGTGAGGCCAAAGTTAATGCATTTTTGTGACAGTTCCTTTAGTTAACTTCCTAATTCTTTCGAGAACTTCGCAAATATAACTACACCAGCTGCGAACGTAAAGATTTTCCAGTTTATCCCCATCTATTTCTATGCCATAATTTCAATTTATATTCCTGAAGATTTCTTCTCGAATGCTTATGAACAAGAGAAGTGATATTGGATCTTCCTGTGGAACTCCTCTTTCTTGTTTGAATTTGTATGCCTTTCTTTCTGTTTTCACAGTTGCCCAGCTATTTGCGTATATTTTACCGATAATTTGAACTATTTTTCTGAGTATTCCCCGTTTCACTAGTGTCTTCAACATTGGAAGATGTTCCACGGAATCAAAAGCTTTATGAAGATCAACGAAGGCTATAAATATTGTATTGTTGAATTCGTGAGCTTTTTCCAATATTTGATTCAAAATTGTAGATGGTCAGAATCCTGCTTGTTCGGTCGATTGTTGTTTTTCTATTGTGTTTCTGAGCCTTCATGATATAATTTTGGAAAACACTTCATATAAACCGGACAGTAGACTAATAGGTCTAATTGTTAATGTCATTATTTTCCCCTTTCTTGAAAATTAACGTGATCGCATTAGATGCCAATGGTTTTGGGATGTCTTCTTTTTCTAGCACATAATTGAAAAGTTGAGCTAGTTGTTTTACAAGGTGGGGTGAGCCAATTTTCAATAAATCATTCGTTATACCATCTTATCCTGGTGTTTTCCCATACTTTAATTCTTTTTATCGCCACTTCAACCTCCTATAAGTGATGGTAGGAATTGGTAGGTCATCTCCATCATTTTCCAATGACCTTAGAAAATTATCAATTTTTGTGTTAATTCTCATCTGCACCCATTCTGTAGAAAGCGGTTGCTCAGGTTGTTATCTCTTATCTGTTAAAAATTTCGCTACCATCCAATGTTTAAATAGAGTGGATACAAAGTTTTCCTTTTTTAGAAATTGCTTAATTTTTTCAGGGATCAAACATTATTATTGGATTTTTATGGAAAACAATTAATTATTCACTTCATTAATATTTTTTTAAATAACTGCCATCTTTAGCTTGATTTTACCCATCAGTCGCCCAGTCATTTTCGGCAACTGATATCAATCGACCCCTTAATCTTCATTCTCCCTCTTTAAAGGTTCATCGACTTCCAAGAGATCGATATCAACCCGATGGAAATCCCTCCTTTGGATTAAAATCTACAAAATGCAACATATTCCATCTTAAATCTGTTTGATACACCCTTGGGGGAAATTCCTTATATGAGGTGACAGGATTCTGCGAGGATGGCATCTTGAACATTACAAAACTAACTATAATCTACAAACGTACCAAGTAGTATTAGTACTAAGTATATCGTACTATAGTGTAGTTGGACCTGTACGAATAGTCTGCACTTTACAATCTTTGAAAAATGAAAATAGTTTCGTACAGGAACCAAACTTCGAATGGCTAGATCTTCAACTCGTCATTACCCGATACTGAACGTGGGTAAATATTGCCTTTTATAATGACAAATATTGACAGCTGAAAGTGTTAAATATCAAATAGAATCAGTTTTAATCACAGATTAAATTACACCGAATATAAAATAGTTGAATTTTGCACATCTCTGAACAGTCATGCTACGGAGTGGGAATACCTCACCTAGTTATTGATTTCGGGCACGTAAACTGCTATGGTAATCTGTCCCACTCGTGACGTTATGTCCTCCTCGATGGAACGTCACAGTTTGCGACTTGTTTCCCCCTTCAGATATCTCCTCTAGCGGGGCAGCGCCCCTGGCGGGAGAAGCCCGTCGAAGGCACATGTATGGCCGTGTAGATCATTTAATTGTAAAAATATGTGTGAAGGAGAGAAGGTGCTGAAGGATGAGGAAGGAAAGATCGCACGCAATCCATGAACCATTTGTTCGGGAACGCAATATCGATCTGATGCTATCGTAGAGACCACGGAAAACTACAGAGCAGCCGGCGGTTTGAATTCTTGTCTTGACCGCGCGCTTCAGTGGCTGAATTCGACCTAGCTATTTTCGAAAAAAAGACACCTTCAGGACTCGAACCCTTGGACCTCCCGGCCAGAGTCGCTACAGTGGCTACAGTTGATCTAGCTCAGCCGGTCAGAACAGTTGTTCCTATGAAAATTTAACGGAAGGTCCATAACGATCTTGTCCAGCTGCGGCACACGTACTTGTTTTTGTGCCGCTGGTGACGTAAATCGTGAAAAACCTGCGGTTCAACCAGTGCTTTTCTGACAGGGAACGAGGACTATAGGCATAACGTGAAGCCAACTTTATGTTATAAGAAATTTTTCCATATCTGATGAAATTAAAATGCATTTGTAATGTCTCGGTAATATAATGATAGAGTAATATGCGCACAATGTGTATTTACGAACATTATGTAAATTTCATAAAATCAAAAATCCGAATAAGATAACCCGAGTCGTCAGGTTATTCACACCATAGCAATGATTTGAAATGGACATTAATAAATTTGTACGTGATGTGAGTAAGACGACTCGTTTTTAAAATTGTAAAGCGAATGTGCTACATTCATTTATGTAATAGGTAATACAATAATCAGTTTGGGGATTATTATTACATAACCTAAAGATAGGGACCATCAAGGAACTACCTATACTAACTGCAACTGTATCCGGAACTAACTTGGACCTGTTATGATGGGTTGCAATACACAGAGTGAGTCATTTAAAGAAAAAATTACCCCACCGTCTTCTCCTCCTGTAAAAATGTTTCAAATTTTATTTTGACGAGAAAAACTTCATTTCTGACAGAAGTTTTTGGACAATTTTATTTCTTCTAAAATATCAAGAAGATTGTACTCATAGCATGTAGAAGCTCTGAAGATAGTTCAGAGTATTATCAAAGAAGCTTTTTTTTCGGCGGCAACGGAAGAAAAACTAAAATGTGTGAATTGGCGGATATTAGACGTAAATTAAACAGCAGTACATTGCGTGCGGCCCTGCCATTGCGCCAGATTTTAGGCCTCAGAGCCTAAGCCGATGCGCTGATTTTCAAGTACACACTGCATTCGCTGTTTACAAATAACGCTAATGATCTTCGGAGTCTGCAACAGCAGCGCTACGAGTCTTGAAATGCGCAAAACGTCATGGTGACATAAGGTGTGACGAAAGTGGAAAATTACAAAAAAAGTATTTTGGATTTATTTTTTCAGAGATCAAAACGGTGAATGTATTATTTATTGCAACTTATAACATTACGAGGAATACGGTTTTGAGATTGTTCTCTTGAAAGGACTACTATGTATTGTTGATTGTCTAATAAAAATATTTTCGAGATCGAAAAGGACACTAAGAACTTATTTACATCACTCAAAAATTTCCTTTATCTATTTTTATGGAACCACATGTGTGTGAGTATATTCGCTGTTTACAAATAAATCTAAACAAAAGAGTGAGTAACAGACCCGATCAAGCGCACGGCCAAGGAATGCGTCTTAAGTGTCATAATTTTGGAGACGTGGGCTGACCGAGTTAACCAAGTAATGGAAAGGAGGCAGGGGTCAGGGTTTCGAGGAGGACATGGCGCGGGTATTTTCGCTCACGTATTTCTGGCCGCCGTGCCTCGCCAGGTAGTGGCGAGGAGCGCGCCCTGCTGCCCAGCCACGAAGCGCGGGGCAGAGAGGTGAAGGCGGGGTAGAGGCGGGGCGGGGGGGTACGGCGGGAGAGTGACCAGGAGGCGGTGGAGAGGAAAGGAAGCACTCGACAAACGGGGTGAGCGGAAAGTGGCGAGAGGAGGGTAATGGTGACAACAACCAGGAGAAGAACAAGCGGAGATGGAAAGAAAAGAGGAGAGGAGGCAGACAGGAGGGTGAGGCGGGAGATGAGGCGTGGCGGGTGAGCGGAGAGACGGAGGGAAGTAACGGAGAGGGGGAAAGGGCTGATCAGAGGAGAGATAGAAGCAGGGAGAAGGAAAACAAACGGAGAGAAGAAGGGATGACAATAGGGGGTAAAAAAAGGAAGAATGCAGGGGCGAGGCCACCGGATTGCCCAATCCTTCCACAGTGACAAGCGGGGGCGGGCGCGGGTTGCGGGCGAGAGCAGGCCAGGTGCATAGCGCCTCATTAAGTGCTTCTGAGGAGACGCGATACGGGGACTCGTCTCGCAGAGCACACACACCCGGCGCGCTAAAACAAGCCTCCGCGCGTTGTTCCCTTCCTGGTCCAGTTTGAGGTGCTCGGCCGCCGCCCTTGGGCTGGCAGCATCCCGAACGCGGGGAGGCTTTCGCGTCAGGGCGGGGCGGAGGCCCCCCCCCACCCCCTCCACTCCACCCCCCTCACACCCTCCCCCCCACACCCACACCCCCGCCCCCCCGAACGACGCACCTCCGACACCCCCAGGAAATCGAGTCCTAGCCCCCATACTCCCCCACCGAGCCCCGACGCCGGTGTCCCACACCGCTGCCCCCCAGCCGGCCGCCGCCCCCGCCGCCCCCCGCCCTCTGCCTCCTCCCGAGCGTTTCCAACCCGCCCCACGGTTGGCGGCAGCAAAAGCCCGCAGATGGACACACCCGACAAACTTTCCCCGTAAGGTGGTCTGCCTGGGCAATCTTAGGTTTTGGGATATGGAGCAAGTACATGCAAGCGCTGTATATGGAAAGGCATGGCCAATACGTGCGCTCCAAATGCTAGAACGTGAATTGCCCACAATTTTCTTCCCATAATTGGCTAAACATTTCCTTGA